CCCCAAAACCCCAAAACCCCAAAACCCCTTGGTAATATATAAACTTAGAGATAAAGAAATTAATAATAAATATGAAGCTGACTAATATTGTCATTAGGGAGATCTTACTGTTCCTTGAGTTCCAAGAGTTGGCAGATAACAGGCTTGAACTTGTCAGCAAGATTTTTTATCATAATATTATGTAAGGGATATTTAGGAATTTTTGACCTGGACTTGTGCTTGAAATGTGGTATTGGGATTTCGTCAGATATTTCATGATTATGTCAAATTTGAGAAATTGCTACCTTAATCGTGGCTACTGAATGTTTTACTTGAAGAAAACTTACTTAACTACATAGGGAAGACAATGAGTTGCTCAGGAGAATGATCAACAACTACCTAGATATGATTAAAGATTACCAAAAAGAGCAAGAGTACCAAGACTCAATATTAGAAACCAGAAAGTTTAAAGAGCAGGAAAACAGCAAAGAAGAAATTAAAGAGTAAGCATCTACGACTAACCGTAGGCCTGAGAGAAAATACATAAAAGTTTATGATGATATTCACTCAAATCCCATTAAGCTGTTGAAGAGCTTATTTAACCACAGCAACAAGTTGATGCTTATGTGTGAAAGGTAACTTCGAAGTATCAGTTAAATGTTCGACTTTTTAGAAGAGCTAATTTCAATAGTTAACCTTCATAAGATTTTGTGCAGTATTAATACATGCCTAACTTAGATTATTTATTGTTTCTCGACACTTCATCTGTATATCTAGAACCACTGGCGGTTACCAGAGAGGACATGAAAGCATATATTGTCTGTTTCAAGGCAGAGAAGGCTTTTACAATTCTTGAGAGTCTAATTATTTTCCGAATGGCTTAATGTGAATCACTGCCATACCTTATTCAGAAGATCCAAATAAAGTATCTTGTAAAGATGCCAAAATAAAAGAAGCTCAAAATCTTTCTAAACTTTATCAAGACTTAACACTTGGAGAGCTTGATTCTAAAACTAAAAACTTGAGATATAGCTGAAGCAGATATCATATTCCCTCAGATGAATCTTCATCAAATATTGATGATGAAAATGAAGTAAAAGAATCTTTTTATCATAAACTGTAAGTAAATTTTGATAAAAATTTTCTTTCAGAAAATTTAACATTAGATTTTGTCATACTTGATGATTAGAGAAAATTATATGTGAGGCTAGATGTCTCCATTTTATGCTCCTCAATGAGATTTTATTCTTAAAGGCTCACATTTAATTCCTAGATATCTGAAAGCAAAGGATTACAACCTTAAGAAATCATACAGAATTCTTGAGGATCATAGTTATCGAAATCTCGAGTATATTGCCCATGATAAAGGCTTTGCCGATTCATCTGATAGATTCTATTCTCAGGTAATAAAGGTGACATATACTCATAGGAATATAACAAGATAATCGAGTTCGACACTATCATTCAAAGAGAGATTGCAAGAGAGAAGCTTTTTATGCTGACAGAGGTTGAGGTACAATTTTTCTTTAATTCTAGATTCACCCTGCTAACTACTGAACATGCCCAGCAAAAGCCATTGCTATTTTCGTCCACGATTACCCAATTATCCCTGAAGATCATCCTCTAACAACCATTGTTAAAGGGCTATATGACTCTTTGGATTGGAACAGAAAAGAACCAACTTCTTATAAAAATTTAAGATTTAGATGGGGATTCAGGAATGATTCAGACGAAGGTAAGTTAACATTTCAGGCTAACTAAAATGAAGGATTGAGTTAAAAATAGTATAAATTAGAAAAATAAAGTACTCTTATATTTTTTATCATCATTTTCTAATCTTATTATTTTAAATGTAGAAAGCAAAGATAGCATAAACAATGAAGTTCAAGATGATCTGAGAGAGAAGAGAGCAAAAGCTGCTGAAGAAATAACAGCTATCTACAAAGATGCTGCAAACCTTGGAATTATCCCTCAAGTTTCAAGATCTGATGAAAATGTTTTAGAATTCTCACAAAAATTTTATTCTAAAAGATTTAACAGCCACTCAAAAGGTAAGCTAAACGTACAGAATCCGTAGAGGAAGTTAAATCTGATATGAATACAACAATCTCCAAGCTTCCTAAACCATCAGAGTACCTTCCAATTATGGAATCGTTAGATATGGCTCAGATTATCGAAGATTCTAGCTATAGGCTAGTTTGTATTGCCTACGATATGGATGTAAGCTTCTTCAATTACCAATAGGGTGGCTCAAAGACATACTCTATCAAATTACCCCCGAACACAAATGGAAGATACATCACCATCTTGGGTAAAGTTTCCATAGTGACTCATAGGCCTCGACACGCATCAAAAAGGCAGAGACAACAATTATGATGTTGGTAGACTCATCTTCAGCGGCTATTCCATCCCAAGCTGTCTCAAATTATCTAAATAATACATGAGTTTGTTCAGTGACCTAAAAATCTTTGTCAATCTAGAGCTAAGAACCCGGGGTTTTGGGGTTTTGGGGTTTTGGGGTTTTGGGGTTTTGGGGTTTTGGGG